ATACACACATGTAATAATAAATAAATGTCTTAAAAGAAGAAAATAGAAAAAAGTAATAATTCTTACATACTTTAAAATGCTGATTTAGAAGGTATAGTTTGAATTATGTCATCTGAGAGATGAGATTTATGATATCCTTGTTGAAATTGCCACATACTGTACTTTTAGGATATTAATGTAAGTTATAGAAAAATGACATTAGACTAGCCATGTAACTTTTTAATTATATTGTAGCTATATTAGCAGGTCTAATTGCTGTTTTTCAGTAGACTTTATTTTTTTTTAAATGGCTGTTGAAATGACTTGCATATTAATATACCATTAGTTTTTCAACGTCTCCCTCTGCTAAGTATTTGAACCTTATAGTTACCTTTCTACACTTAAGCCATACTGTAGAACAGTGAAGAGGATACGCCTGCAGTGGGCCATCAGGAATCGGCAAGGCTGTCTTAACACACTTTGTTCTGACTTGTTTCTCAGTATTTGTTTCTGCTTTGGTTTGGTATATTTTTTGATATTCTGAAGTATAATCTTACAGTTATTTCATATTGCTTAATAGTAATATTTACATACTTAGGAAAGCAAGTTGGACATGACAGCTTCTATTCCTTCATTCCAAATTGAGATAGGTTGTAAAATTTCAGAACTTCTTGAAACACAAGGTAGCTCTGGATAACAGCGACAATACTAATTTATAGAGTTGAATCAAAGACAGTTCAGCTGCTACGAATTTAGTTTAGTGCATAGATCTATATTCTGTAAGGCCATCACACAAAACTCCTTTTGTTTTCAAGGTATCCAAAGTGGATTTTATCCATAGGTGATAGACGATATTGGCCAATGGCTATGAATTCTGAAGAGCTGAGGAAATGACTGTAGTCATTGCTAGGTGTAAGTTAAGCTTTCCAAAAGATTGGATTTTCTTCAAGGTTGCAGAGTCTAAAGCTATGAAAATTAACATTAACCAAGGCTTCAATAATATGAAAATTCAACTGGGTTTCCATTGGCCTTGAAAATATTACATGCTAGCAGTTGTGTTAACTACTTTAAGTCTATTATTTCATTTAATTGTCACTTCCCCTGTTAGGGGTGAGGTGGTTGGTGCTCAGAAACAGAAATTTTAGTAAGTAGCTTTCTTAAACAAATGTTACTTGGTGATGGAGATCCGTGATCTATGCTGTGAGCACCCACAGCCTGCGCTCATAATAACCTGTGTCACAGTACATTTCTTGACCCTTTTACCCTTCTGAGTCTTAATGTAGTAAAATAGGAATTGGGCTTCACTACCTCTTTTTTATGTTACTTAGTTCATTAGCCTTTGGTGTTCTTTGTTCTGTGGCTTTTGTTCACATAGTAGTAGAGTGCTTTCTAGTTGAAAAGCAGAGTGTTAGGGACACGTTGGGATAGGCCTTGAACCTTTTGACAGTTCTGGGGACCTTCAAGGTCTGTAGCACCTCAACTCAGGGAATACAGCTTCTAGTGCTTGGTGTCTAATCTTTCAAAATAATTTTTGTTTGAATTTTGGTTTTTCTGTTCTAGGAAAGAATTCTGACTTTGATATTTGACTTACACTTTGTAGTCAGCTTACATTTATTTATCTTCCAAAATTTCAGTTCCCCCTTCTTTTTGATTTTTTTTCTTTCTTCAAACTCTACTAGTATGACAAATACTATGAGAATGGCATGTGAGGGTCCTCTGGCTACAACCTCAGTTACCCCATCATTTCCCAGTGTTGATTTGGTGGATTTTTCCTCAGCACTCCATGAGCATTTCTCCTGAAGCTGCCTGATCCATCTCCCCCATAGAGGTGGACCGGTCAACTGCTATGAGCGGGTCAGGGGTATATGAGTAGCTGTGCTAGAGGCTCCAAACAAGCTAATGAGAATTGGGTGATCATTTATTATTCAAAAGAAAATCCTGAGCAATATTCTTTCCTTGCTGATTTTTAGGTCAGTGTATCTTTTCCTGCATTGTTTAGTACTAAAATTCTTTGTACACAACCCCTTTATTTTAGAAAAAACCCGCTTATTTTAGGTACTGAGCACTTGAAGCCATCTTTAAATTATGTTATTATCATATATTTAAACAGAGATAGGAAATGATAGTTGGCATTTCTTTGATTTATCTCCTATGTGCCCACAAATTTCTCCTTATATCTTATAGCTTTTGGATTCACTTTCTGTTTAATAGGAAGCTCTGTATTGCTTTTCAAATGAGTTATCAGTTTAGTGTTTTGTAGCCCTGGATGTCCTGGAACTCATGCTGCAGACCAGGTTGGCCTTGAACTCAGAGATCCATCTGCCTCTTCCTCTGAGTGCAGGGATTAAAGGTGTGTGTCACTATCACCCAGAAGAGTAAATAAAATTCTATGTGCAATAAAGCATTTTCCTTGGAAAAATATGATAACTTAAATGCATTTCTATCTTATTCTATCTTTTTATTTTTTATTTTTCTTCTTCTGAAAGATGGAGTCTCACTGTATAAACTAGGGTAGCCTAGAACTCCCAGAGATCTCTTTGCTTCTGCTCCCTGAGTGTTGGAATTAAAGGCATGTGCCACCAAGCCAAGATCAATGTCGCTCCCTCCCTCCCTTCCTCCTTCCCTACCTTTCTTTTTTCTTTTGTTTTCTGAGGTTGGGGTTTCTCTGTGTAGCCCTGACTGTCCTATAACTCACTCTGTAGACCAGGCTGGCTTCGAACTCACAGAGATCCATCTGCCTCTGCCTCCCAAGTGCTGGGATTAAAGGCCTGTGCCACCACTGCCTGGCTCAATGTTTTCCTTAAAGTGTTGAGAGTCATAGTTAACTTTTATTTTAGAGCAGTACATAGTATAGGATCAAATAAAGGGAATCTTGGGATTTCTTTTGATTCTTCATTGCCCACACCACTTCAAATGTAGCCTTTCTTCAGTCAGGTGCTTCAAAGGATAATTTTTTCAGGCATCAAGTGTACAAAGAAGACAATACTGGTAGTTCACTTAGGTTTAAATGATACAATAATGGAAAGTACCTCCAAATTGGAGTGTATTAGGTGTGGACTTCAATTCTTTTTATCCTTCTTAAACCCTAATTTAAGGGATAGATATTGTTTAATCATTATAGAACTTTTTATGGTGGTTGTACTAGAAATAGATACTCAAGGATTTCCTCAAGTTCCTACCTGTGGATTTCCTAAGTTCCTACTTAGTTATCCATAACCCACTGTTACAGAATGAAAGAAGCAAATACCCAAAGACATCAGGCTCTCAGGGAAGAGCTAAGTAGAAGACTTGGTCACATCACTCAGCACTCTGAGGTTGGAATGCTCAGTGTTTAAAATAGAAAACTAATTTAAAATTACTGTCTGTAGCTAATTTTATATGTGGTTATTAATGTGTATGTGTGTATGATGTGTGTGAATATTAGCATGCACATTATAGCACATCTCTTGAGGTCAGAGGTCACCTTTTGGGAGTTGCTGCTCTCTTCCACTTTGATATGAGATCTAGAGATTGAACTCAGGTTGTCAGGCCATCTCACCAGTCCTAAAGTTCTTTTATGGTCTTCCGCCTCTTATGTGGTCTGAGATATAGTGAAAGGAACACAGTGTCTTTATGTTAGAAAGTAAACAGTACTTCTGATATTCAACAAAATTGACATTTTTATTTAAGCAAAAGTACTTAAGCCTTTTCAAAATATATCCTTTGTTTCCACAAAATATCAGCAAAGTGTGTTAGCTACATATTTGTACTAGTCAAGGGGAGGTGGGACATCCAATAAAGGAGAAACACGTTAAAAAATGATAACTATCCAGGTTTGGTAGCAAACACTTGTACTCTGTACCCTGCTACCAGAAGTTTGGGGCCAGCTTGGACAACACAATGAGAACCTGTCCTAAAACAAACAGAATAAAAACAAGAATAGTAGTTGGCTAGAAAGAAGGTTTAGTGATTAAGAGCATTTGCTACTCTTGCAGAGGACTGAGATTTGATTCCCAGTACCCATATCAGGTGTTCCAGTCATCTGTAAGTCTAGTTCTAGAGCAGCTGATGCCCTTTTCTGGCTTTCCACCACACATACAAGTAAAATAACTAAATATGTATTTAAAAATACAATAACAAAATCTAAAAAGTCCCCCCACAACCCCTGCAAAATGCAAACAATTGGCTTGAAAAGTCAATTGGATCAAATGTTGTCTTGCCTTCTACTAGTACTACTGTGCTGGAGTCAAACCCTAGATCTTGCACATGCTTGTCAAAAAAGTAGCCTTGAAAGTGTGGCAACACATCACTTGTTGACCGTAGAAGCTGAGAAACCAAGTAGATTTTGCTACTGGTTTTTGATTATGAAGATACAAGACCTAAAGTATATCTGATATAGAGTTCACCAATTTAGAGAACTTTAAATATTTAGAAATACACTATACATTTCTAAACACTTAACCTACTAGCTCACTTACTTGATGCTATTATAATATTAACATAAACATAACCATAAGTATATGTGCTGTTTCATTTGTGGAATCTAGCATTACAATGGATGTAATCTGGATGTTGTCTTTCTTATGGAATGTAGCATTTGTCATTTGATGATCACAGGTGTTTATCAAGGACCTTTCTGCTAAATCAGAACATAGATTTCATGAATTGGTTTGTGGTGGTATGTTTTTAATAAATACTGGAAAAGATAAAAACATTTTTTGAGAAAAATTGGTTAAACATTTAAGTACTGCCATAGTATCTGTTAGTAACGTTAAAGATATTATAGTTACTTGCTGATAATCTGTTCCATAATTTGTAAGCAAAAGTACTTTTAGAAACAAAAGATTGTATCTACCCCAAATTTTGAGTATCCGTGTGTTAATTTCCTGACACTGTTACAATTCTAAGAGAACTTACTTGCACCGAAGTGACAATGTTTGAAAATTCATCTTCATGGGGTACGTTTTTTTTTTTTTCTTTTCTATTTCTTCTCCCCCATGAAAACTCTAGTACAGTACAGTGTTTGTCATTCTATGTGGCAGGATACCCAGAGTTATATTGACGGATATCCTGCGAACGGAGTTAGGAAGAAAATACTTAAAGATCTCACCTATAACTGAGGCCAGTTTGAGTGGTACAGCCAACCTGAAGTCAGAGCAACTTTCTTCATCATCTGATGGCAGCTTAGAGTCTTGTCAGAATGTAAATCATCACAAGAGCTTTTTGTCTGAAAGGTATGTCTAGTGATAACTTTACTAAAAAAATACATATTTATTCTCATGTACTTGATCTTTCCTCCTAGATACATTATTGTGAATATAAGACAAACATGCTTTAATAACTGGTGTGACTTTTTCCCACTGAATAAAATGGCTTTGGAAGTATCAATTCGTGGCTCATAATCATAATTAAAAGTCCATTCTTGTATTTTGGAAACATGGATGCAAACACTGAATGAAACTTTAGTTACCTGCTTTAGTATCATACTGGTGTAATGGAAATAATTCCATTTCTCTCTTCTTTTCTCTTCTTTCCACCCATCTGTCTGCACATTTCTCTAGAATCCATCCATATCCATCCATCCATCAATCCACCCTACCCACCCACCCACCCACCCACCCATGTTTACTCACCATGATTATACCTGGAAAATGGAATCTTACATCTAGTGCTTAGTAGATATTTATTGAACAAATGGATAAACACACTGCTAGCAAGAATGATATGCAGTAGCTGAATTCCATTAACAGGTGCAGCTTACTCTACTACTTAAAATAGATACTAAGTTGCTTTGTTTCAGAAACTAAGACAGGGAGATCTTGCCTAGACTAGAACTAAGAAATACTTTATCAAAAAAGCTAGAAGATGCTCAATTAATAAATTCTACTGGGTTTGTTTTTTTTGAGATAGAGGATTTCTGCTCTGCAGCCCAGGTCTTGAACTTGTGATCCTTTTGTCTTCTCTTGAGTGCTGGACTTACTGTGTGAAGCACCAAGTTTGACTTCTAGATTTTTTTTTTTTAAATGTTTATTTGCTATAGTCAAATGTTTATTTGCAGACTAGTCAGACTTACTTTCTGCTTTCAGCCTGTAGAATTCAGAGCTTTGGTTTTAGCAAAAATTTGTTCTGGTCTTAGTTGTCCCTCCCACCAACTATCTTCTTCAAGCTTATATTTTCACTTTAAGCCTCTTACTTATGGTTCCCCCATTAAAGGCTTGTAACACATTTCTTAACAATTCTAACAGGTAGTATCTTCTTAAAACTCTGTTTCTTATCAACTTCTAAAATTTTCATGTCTTTATTCTGATTCATGAAATATCAAATATAACATATAATTAGTCTCTGTCCTGCTCCTTTCTGTTGCTGTGGTGGGATATTCTGACAAAAGCTACTTAGGGGAAGAAGGTTTTCTTTTAGTTCATAATTTCAGGTTATAGTCCATCATTGTGGGTAAGTCACAATGACAGAAGCTTAGAGCAGCTTATCACACCAAGTCCACAGTCAAGACCAGGGAAAATAAGTGCATGTATGTTCATGTATGCTCGCTTGCTTGTGTTTGGTTTGCTTTTTCTACCCTTACAATAGCTGAGGACCCCCTGCCTGTGGAATGGTGCCTTTCCATAGCAGTTAACACAATTATGACCATCTGCCACAGATATGCCCACAGGCTAACCCACAGTTAACAGTTCTTCATTGAGACACTCTTCCCATGTGATTCTAGATTATGTCAAGTTGACAATTAAAGCTAGCCATGACAGTCTATTTTAAAAATTGTCTCTTCTCCAAATAAGTATTTCAATGATGGGCTTGAGAGATGACTCAGTGGTTAAGGGCACCTAGAGGACTTGGGCATGGTTCCCAGCACCCACATGACAGTTCAAAACCATCTATACCTCCAGTTTCAGGGGATCAAATGCCCTCTTCTGACACTGAACACAGGGCACTCAACTGGCATGCATGCATGCATACATGCATACATACATATATATATACACATACATACATACGTACATACATACAAGCAAAATACCCATGCACATAAAATAAAACAAATATAACAAAATTAATTAAGAGAGAATTTCAATATTATTATTCAGATAGTAGACTGAATATATAATTAGAGATTTCAGAAATGTAATTATCACATTATTTTGCAAGTGTTTGTTTCTGCTTATTCTAGTAGATTGAAAGCATCTTACTTAAGGAGAGGTATTGTGCCATATTTATCTTTATATTCTCTCTCAATGCACAGATCTGTTCATGGCACTTAACCTTGAGCTTAATTTTCCTGAACTGTAAGAAGGGAATTAATTTAGAATGTATTTACTAGTTCATAAAATTTTTACATTATTATTTAAAATTTTGTATTTTATCTTTATGTCTATCGATGTTTTGCCTGTATATATGTGTGTGCACCATGTGCCATACCCATAGAGATGAAAAGAGGATGCTGGGACCCCTGGGACTGGAGTTTCAGTTGGTTGTAAACTTCTATGTGGATACTGGGAATCAAACCCTGGTCCTCTGGTAGAACATCCAGTGCTCTTAACCACTGAGCCATCTTCCATCCACATTAAATTATCCAAGTATGAAAGTGAAAATTTTCTGCACATAAAATATAATATAAACAAAAGTGTTATAATTTTGCATTTTTTGTTGAAATTTATGATGTTATTTTCCATTGAATACAAATTATATTGGTATTATGTAATTAAGAAAATAGCTCTATTGTGAGGAACTTAAGAAACTGTCAAATTATAATCTGTACTTTTTGGGTCTTATGTTAAAAATGAATAATGATAATCAATAAGATATTTCTGTTTGTTTCCAGAATCTATTAAGTGAACCTAGCTTGCTTCAAGTTCCGTATAAGTGGTGAAATTCCTGGGTAGCTTTGATGTGGCCTCTGAAAATCAGTTCTCTTTTTGTTGATTGCCTCCAGTTCTTAACCTTTAGATTAAGCATAAACATTATAGCCAGACCTACATTCAGCTTTCATCTGTGTTGCTAGCACACTGAGTTACCCTGGCAAGTTCCTTGTATCTTTGACACAGGGATAACAATGTATGTCTTTTTGGATTGATGTTTAGATTTGAGCAAAATCCACAATCCAATGCCTGGTAATAACTGGTAACATTATTTTTATGCCTTTCTTATTGCTGCTAACTAAAAAAAAAAATAAAAAAATAAAAAAATTTAGAGGCTATTGCTGTATCTGATTCTTCTGAAGCCTTCTATCCTGGAAATGCCAGAATGGTCTGAGACCGCTGTTGCCAACTGCATTGTGGCCAAAGCATTTGTCTGAGCTTGATGAACTTCACCATTTAGTTAGTTTAAGGATGAGTCCAGCTCTGTCCTGCTCAGGGATACCTGACTGGGGGACTGCTCACAGCAGCAAATCCCATTCGGCAGGATCCAGCACATCTAGAGACTGCCAAAGCCCCATACCAGTCTCACCTCCATCCAAGGGATTAGGAAGAGGAGAGACATCTGAGTATTGAATCTGTTTGCATCTACCAGAAGGGAACCTTGGTCCCGTACCCACCAGGAGAGGAAGAGATTCCTTCTACTCCCACCAGAAGAATCAATGGGAATAAGACAATATAAAAACACATTCAACAA